CAACTCCCTGACTATAGATCAAAAAAATATTGTCTATATGTTATTTAATTAAATTACTAATCCTTTATTTTTAATGTCCAACACAGGTTTCCGATGATGGTGATGGTGAGGAGAACTAGTATCAATTGCAAACGGTGGTGGATGTTGTTGGGGAAGGCTGCAATGTGAAGTTAGAAGAATTGTACTGCTAGGCGTAGTAATCTACGTAAAATAATGTGCATTGTTAGAGATTTGGAGTACGTGTGTCATGGTCTCATGGAATTGTGCTATGGTTTGAGTCTAAACTTGCTAAGTTTGTGTTGTTTAAACTTGATCTGTGTGTGTTGTTTGAACTTGAAACTACGTTGTATTTAAATCGTACTATCACTACTATGTTGTGTGTTAATGTTTATGTGTGAATGTGTTATTAGGACCTAATTAAATTTAATAATTAACTCATTACTACGTTTTCCCCTTTACGTTTACTAATAGTTTTAACCCTTTGTTTTTAAGATTTAACACCGAATAGTGATATAACAAAGATAAAACCTATATCATAAACACCATTTAGTGATTTCAAAAAAAAATAAGACCTATCTTATAAAAAGTAAAAATTAAAATTATATAATGTATATAGTACGTTCATGTTAAATTAGAGACAACTTACACCATTTAATAATCTGTATACTTCCCATTTTATTTTAACTAAAACCACCTTTTAAGTTATTTATTGTAATTAGTTATTCTTTAAAACAAAAAATTTACAGAAAAATGTACATGTTTAATAAATACAACAATTACAAATTTCATTAATGTAAGAAAATGTAAGAAAATGATTCCTTTGCATTAATAATTGGACAGAGTGTGTTGCAGTAATTCATAACTTCTAAAAATAGCAAAGGATCAGGTGTACAACTCTAACAAATATGCTGCATTAATTACTACTACAACATTCCTTCATTAAATGAAAATCGGACAGAATAAATCTCCTAGCTTAGCTTTTAGGGTTTGAAGTTTAATCATTTAACAAAAGTAAAACCAATTGCTTCACCGCCGAATTACATAGGTTAAGTTTGAATCCTTGGCTTGAACAAGTCAATTGCACCTCTTACCACAACATTTGAATGAAGGTTTAGTAATTCCGAGTTTTGGTTTCTTCAACGAAAGTTGTGTGCCCTATGATGGTTAGGAAAAAAAAATTGATTACATGTACAGGATGGACTATGATTTTTCTTAATATAAACGTATTACATGTTATTAATTAATTAATAACAAAAGGTAAATAAAGATAAATAGCAGTAATTACTATGGTAATTGGACTTTGAACTTTACCTGAAGCACCACGTTGATTACGTCAGCCCCAGTATAGGTAGGGTGCTGGTTGATTTTGATATCCTGTGGCTTCCACAAGACTGCGCCGCCGCCGGAAAATGCACGAACAGGGGAGGTGATGAAACTAAAGTGCCGTGGAAGCCGACGTATCATCTCAGTGACATTTTCTAAGAAATGCCTTGTTTCAAGTAATATATTCACGGATGGCTGCATCGCTTCGTAAATTATTGAGAAATTACGAAGGAAGGACTTCCTAGTGATACCTCGAACATTCCAGGTGAGAATGCGAGTGTTTAATGGCACATTGTTGACATTGGGAACCCATGGAGGGCATGATACCAGATCCAATGCAACAAAATGGTGGGGTGCACGCTTCTCAGAGTTTGGTGCTTTTAAAACGGTTAAGATTAGAACACTTGGATAGCGCGGAACATTGACCACTTGAATGGCGTCTGAGAAGCTGGCCATGCACAAGAACAAAATGTCGAATTCAAGTTGAAATGTAGGAGAAGTTAGATCAATAACGGGCTCTGGTTTAATTAAATGCTGCAAAAAGTAAGGAACGGTGAAATAATTCCTGAGATAGAATTCAAGGATAAGTTTCGCGTGTTTAGGCAATGGATAACAATCATTCATGTGTGGTATGTGGGCAGGTCGGAGTTCATCACTGAGATCCTTTGACCGCATTTTCAAGGTTGAGAACTCAGGTGTCACATTTGTGGGATTAAGTATGAAGTTTGCAATAGTTCGTTTGGAGATATATGAGGGGTTGTCATTAGAGTCCCGGGATAAGAACAGCTTTGAATAAATGTCCATTTCCGGGGCTAAAGTACGAGGGGGGTCTAAGAAAAGCAGTGCCCAATTAACATCAGGGGTTATTGCAGCTCTAGGCATGATGGTTGAGTGCTTGGGGTTGAATATGGGTTCGGGGGTTAAATATGGCGTTGTGTAAAGGTTGAGTACTAGTGATTTGTTATGTCAGTATTTGTTATTAAAACAATACGGAGTAATAAAATCCTCATCCTTCCCCACGCAAAAAGGACAACTTAAGGAGGGAAACTAAGCTATGCAAAGGAAAAATAAAATGTTCGAAAAGACTATTGAAACATAGTCATAATTTTCGGAAAAAAAAAAGAGAGTGCTTTATTGTAATTTTGTTTTTTATGTCTGTGATGTCTGACTTACTCCAGTAAGGTAAAGGGAAGAGCTCTTCCACTCTTCCACTGACATAGACTCACCAAATTGCAAAAGGACATCAAAGAAATTATATAGTACAGTACATCTATGATCTTGTGTTTCCTGTTTGTAATTTCATCAAATTATATAGTACAGTACAAGGGTATTGATTCGTAAGCAAAGGAAAAGAAAGTGATATTCAAAAGTACAATATAATCTCATGTGGTAAAATAATCGGAATTGAAAAAATAATCTCAAGTGACAATTATCCCAAAAATACAAAAATTTCCGATAAATAACTCGCGAATGCTTAATATATTTCGTTTTTCTTGTTAATTTACCAACTCTTTTTTACGGAAATAACAATTTGAAGAAAAAAAAACGTTAAGTATCAATTTTCACTTAAGTTTCATACCCCTTATTAACGAATTTTTTTAAAAAGGGGTTGGAAATAAAAAGGGATGACATGTAAATTCACAATTTTAAATGGAAAAATAAATTTAAGAACATAAAATCAAATTAAAATTGGATTTTTGAAGAGTTTGTTGGGAAAAAAATAGTTTTTTGGTCTAAATGTCACCGGAGTTTATTATTGTTACCAAATTGTCGCATATTGTTAGCTTTTTTTACCAAAACTGTCGCCTTAGTAAGTTTGTTAACCAAATTATCGCTATAGGTCTTTTTTATTTACCAATCTTGTCAATTGGCCGCAATTTGGCATTACCCTCTTCGCTCATTAAATCTTAACAATCAAACAATAATAAGGGCTAAATTCCCATGGGAAATTATAATTCATGGGAAATTACTTCCTTTATTAAAATTCCTTGGAATTACATAAATATGTTTGGTTGTCATGTGGGAATTTATAAATCATGGGAATTGTGAATGACCAAAGGAGGGGTGGGTAAGTAACTTTCCATGTTTTGTGGGAAGTGAAAATTCCCATGAATTGTGGCTTCCCCCATTTTTGCTTTTTAATATCAACCAAACAACATACCCAAAAGGAAATTCATGGGAATTTTGAGTGCCCATGGAAACAAAAGGCAACCCAAAAATAAAGTAACTAATATTAGAATAAGACTAAGCACGTCACTTACAAAAAATACTATAAAAATAGAGCAATGCATAATCATATCTAAATTATTTTTAATTAGGGCCGAGCAAAACTACCCGAAAAACCGATCAATAACCGTTCCGAAATGCTATAAAATTTCAAATTTGAATGCTAATATCCACGTTTTTTAAGATATTCAGGATGTTTTGGAGCCCGTTGTCAAAATGCTTTAATAATTTTGGGGATACATCTCGGGGTCATATAATGTCGTTTGGGACATATAATGTCGTTTGGAACCATATATGATAATTACACATAAATGTTTGTGGAAGACTTAAATTAATGAAATCGGTGCAAGTTGTAAATAGGTTGTTAAGTTTAAAGACAAATTGGATGGTTCCACCTACCCAATTGAACTCCTGGACCATGATAAAAATTTCGTCAATTGTTATTTCCATGCGGAAAAATGTAAAAAAAATTAGCGGCTAATATCCATGGTTTTTTAGAAATTTCGAAGGTTTAAGGGTCCGGTGACTGAAATAAATGAGGTTTTAGGGAATACATATCAGTGCAAGTTGTAAAACGGGAAATTGACCGTTTAAAGGTTTTTACACGGTTCAACCCACCCAATTGGACTCTCAGAGGCTATTAGGGACCATGGTTTGCGTCGGGTTCGGTTCAAGTCAATAATTTGCGGGTTATAATCAGGTCGGATCATTTTCAAGTCGGGTCATTATCGGATTCAAGTCGGGTACTGTTGAAGCCAATAATTTGCAGTTTACAATCAAGTCGGGTCAATTCCAAGTTAGGTCATATTCGGGTTCAACTAATTATAATAAATAGATAATTGTCATTTTTGTCTAGTTAATTATTTCCTTTTACTGTCATATATATGGCAATATAATAGGGAACTATAGTTTATTATTTAGGAAGATAATTATCTCATTTGACCATACGACAAATATATATGTACTACATTTAACTCTTAAATTTAGGAAGAGAAAATGCTTTGATTAACAATAATAAGGTGATCTAAATTGCATTTAAGGTGATTTGAAATCAGGTCATTAACAATTTGGGTTGAATTTAGGTTGGGTCAATAACAAGTCGTGTTCATTTCGGGTCGGGTTAGTAAGCGAATTTTGTGTCTTATTACATTATTTGTTTGCACTATGTAATTATTAAGTTTGACAACTAAAAAATGTTTTTAACATGACTTAATTCCAACAATAATTACTATCTTAACAATAGAATTTGATATGCAAAATTAAACAAATGCAAACTAGCAACTCGGGACATCGATCGGGCCACACATTAGTTTATGGATAAATGGTTACCAACGTAAAGTACAAATAAAAATTTCTTCAAATAAGAAAAAGTACAAATAAAATTTTTTCCAAATAAAAGTAAGTACAAATAAAAATAAGGTACAAATAAGAAAAAGTACAAAAATAAAATAAAGTACAAATAAAATCCCTAAAAATCTATGAGCCTAATAAATTGTCCTGGTCATTCAAGAGTCATCTTTCTCCATCTATTTCCTTTGAAGCGCAGTCAACGTTCTCCCTTGAAGTAGCTACTGAGGTAAGATGTTACTTTCTTTTTTGTCATAAACCAATTTCAGTTTCTAAATATTGGTATTAAACCTTAAATTTCATAATTCTATCTCAGTTACAAGTTCTAACAACTCGAGTGATACACTTGGCTGCACTTTTATCGCCTGAAAATTCTCAATTGTTGGTAAGTTTGATTTCAATCGCATTTTGCTTTCACAAATTTGCTTTCTTTTTTTGGAATTGTTTAAATTGTATAAATTTTTGAAATTGTAATTTGGAATTTCAATTGCTTAAATTCGTGAATCAATAGTCACTGCTGATTTTATAATTTAGGGATTTATAATCTTCATATTGAGATTAACCAATTTGCAACAATTTAGCTTCAAATCTTTTGATTACTCTTTTTGATATTGAGATCTGAAATTCAATTGCAAGCATTTGGGAATTAATGTATAAAAGTAGTATACACTACTCCATAACCTAACCCTAACTTGCTTACATTGTGCAAAAAGTTTCATTTGACTGATTCTTGGATTTTGTTCCTGGTTTACTTCTTTCATGTCTTATTATGTTCTAAACTTATGCCTAGAAAATATGATATTGATGCTGAAGATATGACTTTTTTGGTGGAATATAATTCAATACATTCTTTACTATCTTTCTTCAAAACTATTATAAAATATAGTTTAAGTTATACCTAGAAATTTGAATTTATGGCTGGGAAGGGAAGGCAGTGGCATTATGTTTAGAGGGAGGTTTTTATGCTGCATGTAGGCAGGTGAGAGGGTTTTGTTCTGCGTCTAGGCAGTGCTGGGGGTTGTGAGATTTCGATTGATCGTGGTGTTTGTTTATTTATATAAAAATATGGAATTGTTTCTTGTGACCATTGATGATGAGAAGAAGAAGTATTATTGTTCAGTTTACTCACATTGTATAATTAATTTAAAGGATTGTGTTTGTGTGGTATTCAATTTGGTAATTCCAATAAACAGGTCAGTGTACTGAGTGGATGCTTTTCTGAATTAGAATTTTAGTCTTTCTGTTTTTAGAAAGTGATTGTGACTTGTAAATTATTGTTAATTGTTAATTGGATGTAATAGGAATTGTAGTTTTGTGAGGTTTGCTATCCAAAATAAGACAACTAGTTTATTTTTGGCCAAAAAAAATGCTGGACAACAATATCTGTTACCACAATATCTGTTTGTTGTCTTGAATGAAGATAACGGGAACATTACATATAATAACTAATAGTATTTTATGATTGGGAACGTGGATGTATTACCGTTTGGTCCAATATAATTGTGTCGTCCAGTGTATACCCTTTTGCTGTGCTAGTTGCTTTAATCTCTGGTGATACGATCTTTGCTTAGGCGGTGGAGTATAATGTCGGCTTCACGATTTGAATTCACAATTGATACTCGACGACGATGAAGAAATGTAATGAGTTTAAAAACCTAGAACCTATTACTCGCAAGAATTCAGTAAGTTAGTATGCTAATTACCAATGAAATTTATTCTGTGTTGTCATCAGCCTCTTCCAAACCGAATGGCTCGTGAGGTAAAAGACCTATGGAACAGATGGGTGAAGGACCGCGGAGATGTTGTGCTAACTCTTCAACGGGTGAACGAGACGCAAAAATACAAGGTGCATTTGAAGCAGTTTATACGGGGTGATGGGACTAGAGAAACCTTCTTGAGTGATGGGTGGAGTGAGTTTGTGAACTCAAACAACTTACAAATCCAAGACAAAATTCTGTTTTCTATGTATGACATGGGGGAAGTGTCATATCGGGTAAGGATATGGCGTAATCACAACGAAATAACAAGGGGGGAGCCCCATGCACTTCTTGAACCATTGCGCTTCTTCAAATTCATGTTCCTTCACAGCTACATTTTCAAACCCACAATTGTAAGTTGAAGTTCATCATCTTCTAAACCTTCAGAAAGATTGTGATGGCTTAAATTTTATTTATATTTATTTTTTTGGTGTAGAATATTCCATTGCCTTTCGCCCGAGAACATTTTATGGGTCTTAAAAAGTTCTCCACTGTTAACTTATATGGGACTAGGGTGTATGAAGCAACAATGCACATAAAGTATGATCGGAACAAGATTGTCTCTTGCAATATAAAGAGAGGACTACGTAAATTTATTCGTGGTGAGAATGTCCAAGTGAATGAGAAAGCTGTCGTGGAGTTGATAGCTATGGATCCCCCTTTTTTCAGCCTCATATTTACCTGAATGGTTGATATCGTTCTGTAACTATACTCTAACCGGACTTGTTTACGGCTCGTTTTACATGAATGGTCTATATCATTGTGTAATTATACTCTAAGTGGACATGTTTATGGCTTCATTTTGTACTTAGTCATTCAGGTGGTAAAACTAAAATGCATGTAGCTAATATTTTGCTTTCTGTCCAAACATGTGACTTTTATGGTTTAAAACTTGGCAGGTAATATTTTGCTTCCTGCTCAAATTACTTGAAATGTGGCTTATAACTTGCATTATGCCTAAACTTACTAGTTTGATGGTTATGTCTCATTATTGAAACTAGCCTTTTGACTCGTTCGATGCACGGGTTGTTAGGATAAATTATTTTCAAATAAAGATATACTTTTCATAAGTTGAAACTTTTGATATAGTATACAAAGTAATTGTTTCATTGCTAAAACTTTTTTTAAGAAAAAAATGGTTAGGTATATTCATATATATATGAAGATTGTGGAATATGAAATGACGTATTAGTTTAAGTTATATTTTAAGTGTAGGAGATTAAAAGACAATTTTGATTATAATTCAAATGTTTTATGTAATATGTATTAATTGACTAATTATGGTGGAAATGAAACACTTCATTTTCTTTGTTGAATTTTCATGTCATATAAATCATAAAGACTTGAACAAAAAAATTATGGGAGGTGAAATGTGGCATATGGGGTAATGAGTGACTTGTGATGACATGTATCATGTCTAAAATATGTGGTTTGTGTTTTTTAAACAATAAGTATAGATTAGCTTAAACTTATGAATTGGGAGATTGCATCCTCTTCAAGTAGAGCATAATATTATTATTGAAACTGAAACTACATTAATTTATTGCAATACAAACTGATAGGAACATCATAACATAGGATAATTAAAAACTAAACATAGCAACACCATCACAGATGAAAATCATAAAAACTAAAAGAAAAACTACTCAGAGGGGATGTACTTGTTTTCATTTTCTTTCAGAAACTTGTCCGAGGCAAGATGTTCTGCCTTCTGTTTAACACGGCGTCGTTAAGAGCCATGTGCCACACCATGGGCATGTTGCACGAGAGACCTGAAACTGTAGTGCTTTTTTTTTCTTCCCCAGGCAGAAAGGGCATCTCAATCCCTCCGTCGACACCCGTATTTTGGTCTTGCCGTCGACCAACGCCTTGTATGGTTTTTCAGCACACTCCTCTATCTCGGACTCACTATACTCAGTTTCTTCACTTGAACTCGCCATATTTTACTAATCTTATTCTTTGAATTATGATACTCTCTAGTCTCTACAAATGTGAGTCTTTAGTGTCTTGGTAGTGAGTGTTTATAGGAAGGTGAAGGTAGGGTTTTTATGAAAAGGGGTAATTTAGTAGTCAAATGTTTAAGCAACGATTCAGATTTATATACTGTATTCGTCAAACTCCATTAATGCTAGAGTCGATGTTAAAATCGAAGTTATGAAAAGGGTCCAGGTATAGTGACCGATCTTATCCCAAATCAGAACGCGTCATATAATTTTCAAGCATTACCACAATTTTATACAAGTTACGGAGTACGATCTTATTACCTAGACTTATTTATTTATTTATTTTATTTTTATTATCTATGAAAGCAAAAAGGGATAAAGAAAATAGAAAATATAATAAGTTGAAAATATTTTTTTCGAACATTGAAAACTTTAAAATAAAAAATTGATTGGGGGTGGGATGATGTGAGGGATCGAACCCTTGGCCTCGCGGCCTTATGCTTAGTAGTGTGCTAAGAGTTGAGAGTGAGTGACCATTGGAACGGTACCTTGACCATGATACATTGGCCTTAAAAAATGTTTATGTACTTTAATAAATTATCAATTTTGTTTATGGTCTCAACTCTCACCACACTATCATAAGGTCAGGGTTCGATTCCACCCAACACCACTGTTCGTTTTTTTTTTTTTTTTTTTAAAAAAAATTTGGCTGGACGTTCTATAATTGTAATATGTTTGACTTGTCAACAAAGCATATATACAATATTTGGGGGCCATTATACTATACGTAACTTTCAATATCACATATTCTTTTCCCCATATTTCAACTTCCAAGCATAATCAACGCTTAAATTCTTTCCTAATTAATTCCTTGTAAATTATTAAGTACCATAATCATTCAATTTCCATTTTACTGGTTATCTACTTTAATTAATTTTTCCAATTTTCCATCCTTACTAAAATATATATATATTTTTTAATAGCTTCCATCTTTTTTGTGAATTATTATACTTTATAGTTCTTTAATTGGGGAATCGGAGTTGAAATATTGGAGTTTAATGTAGATGCTTTTATTGGTGACTATGCATGTAGAAATACTCGTAGACTATGTTTCATTGTTTTGCATTGTATGATATGATTATGTTGTTTTGGTGTTTTTTGTTTTAAAAAATATAAAAATTAGACATGTTCTTACTTAATCATAAGGCCTCGTTTGGTTGACTTGGGAATGCATTCCCATAGGAATTGACATTTCATAGGAAGTTAGAATTCCCATGAATTTTGAATTACCAAGAGGGTCTAGGCAATTAAGTTCCTAGATTTTGTTTATTGTATGTTTTTTTTTCTTATTTTTAAAGTATTTTAAATTTAATTATTTTTTTTCTAACGAGATTGTTTATTGTGAGTTGCTATTTTATAATTGGATCATGTCAAAGCAAAGCAAATAAATCAAATTTTATTTTACATTTTTAACTCTATTTGTTAATTAGGGGCCCCTTTTATCATTCCGCCCATAGGCCACTAAAAAGCTAGGAACGGGCATGCTCGTAACATGTTTGAATCAAAAGCTCTTACCACTATCATAAAGTCATGGGTTAGATTTCTCCGAACGGTCAATTTTTTTTTAAAATTATTATAACTTAAATTTTGGTTGTACTCAAATCATTACGTGACATTTGGCATGGAATTGTGATTAAAATTGCTAATTCTGTTTTTTTTTTTTTTTTTTTTTTTTTTTTTTTTTTTTTTTTTTTAAGTTATCAACAAGCTTTGAACAAAATAATTTGACATGACACTTGTCATGTTCTGATTTTTAATTTTCCCAACACTTTTTAATTTCCTTTTTTTTCCTTTTTATTTTCTTTTTATACTTAAATAGGCATTAGTTTTAATCTATATATCCAATGATCTTTAATCTTTAATTTTAATATACAGCGTGTTTTATAATTGTTTAATTATCAATAAATTTTGATAATAATATAATATTAATTCAATTTTTTTTTTGAAATGAAATTCAAGCACCTGTTTCACTTAAATTATATTAACAGTGTAATTTATAATTCAATTAAGTACAAAAATTGCAAATTGTGGGACTTTTTAGATATATAAAACTCCATTACTACATTCACTACAAAAATTATTAATGCACACCGTGAATAATTTACCCTCTGTAATCCTCACACCATGAATAATTTACCCTCTTTAATCCTCACACCATGATTAATATACCCTATAATTTTCATTTATTTTTACACTCTAAAAGGTTTATACTGCCTATGTTACAATGGTGCATCGAAGAGCATGTACAGTAGATTAATTTGGACATGTGATTGACATGCTAACCAAATTACTTAATCAAACTACAAAGATGCAAAACGTACTTATAATTCTTCACCAAAATAAACTTAATTGTCCACCCATTATACTTAATTGTTTAAAATTAAACCATAAACAAATAAAAGCAAAAGCATAACTGTTCAAAATGGAAACAGACTATCAAAGTACTTAATTGTTCAAACTAGACATAAAACATTAAACATCAACATTATGTAAATAAGCATATAACAATAAACATTAAACATTCAGCATAATTGTTAAAACTAGTCAAACTTTTCGATGGTAGAAGCAGAGTGATCGTGATCACCAGATTGCTGGCCAGAAACCTCAGGTGAACAGTGATCGCGGACATGATATGGAGCGTGGGGAACTACCTCGGTCGGGCTTATGGATCTCCTCTGCCTCACTGTCCACTGCCTTGTACTCGGTCTGTTACCCACCGGTTGCACCCCTCCTACACCAGCGACTCCCTGTCCAGAAGCATCACCCACTGCTGCTTGCCCACCATCCCCACTTGAAACCCTCTTGATAGCCTCGGACTTTGCCACCTTTGTGGGTCTCTTCCTACCCCCAACTTAAGCGAAGCTACGTTCACCCTTGTGCCTTGTTTCTTTTGTCTCTGTGCTTCATTGGCCTCTGCCTTATCATTGTGAATTTTAGATATGTCCGTGTCAATTTCATCCATTTCAGACTGTAGGGCTTTGCACATTAACTGGTAGTCAGTTAATTGGTCTCTTAACATTTTCTTCCTCAACTCAAGGAATTGCAGTTCAGAGTATTTTGGTTGATCGTGCTCTGACAAAACAATTGGTTGTTTGCCCTTGTTTTGTTTAACCATTTTCGGATTAATGGAAAAAGAAAGTAAGAAATTGTGAATAATAGAAAGAAATTATGTAAAAACAGAGAGCAAATTGAAGAGGAAAGTGAAACAAAGAATGAAAGTTAGATTTATAGAGAGTGGGAGTTATTTGATCGTGTGGATGATTTCATACATACCCTTTCAACTCCCTCTTTCTACATTCCCTCTTTTTTGCGCCAAATTATTTGACACAATTACAAAGGTTTTTTCCCCCCAAAAATTAAAAAAATTAGAAGGCTTTAATTAAACGATGATCAATTGCTCTTTTAGCGTCATGTCCCAATTTTTACATAACCCAAAGTACAATTTTAATTTGGCAATGGTAGTGTGACGTCACATGATTTTATAATTTTAAATCTAAACTTATTATTTACCAAACTACAATTTACGCATAAGGTTTCTTAGTTAATACTTACTATTTAATTGTTTTTATGTTTCTTAGATTAGTTTCAATTAAGTGAATCATATGGCATGTCATGAATTAGTTACCAATTTCGAGTATATAATTTTATAACGAAATACTTAAACACCTTAAATTAACTTACTATCAAGTTAACAACACACCGAAAAACCTTTATAATCAAATATAGAACACAACAAAATTTTATAGTCCGTAATATCTAATTAAGAATTTTTTTTTTTTTTTTTTTTTATTTTTTATTTTTTTACATGTCCGTATCCCCTAAAATTTTAAAAATTTTGAAGGCTTTAATTAAACGATTACCAATTGCTTTTAACGTCATGTCCCCATTTTTACATAATCCAATGTTCAATTGCTCTTTTAACGTCATGTCCCCATTTTTATTATATG